CCTGTGCCACATTGCGATCAGAAATTGATTTAGTATTATCATTTGAGGGACTGACCCCGGCTGACGCCCATCTAGAACCGCCCATGCAGATGTAACTGCAGCACAGTATCGACTAGTAGGGCCTAGAAAAGCACAGCACACTCTTAGAGTCCTGGGGGATGCAAGTACGTTTGCAAAGGCACTCTGTGTGCAACAAATCAGTGAAAAATTGTCAGATTGAAATAATTTTACTTTCTTTTTTTTAAATCATTGAATTGTTTTTTCTGGCAGTTCTGCTCGACCCTCCTAAGAATGTGACAGTGAGCAGCACAGGCCATCAGGGCCAGCTGAACGTGAGCTGGGTGGCGCCGACTCTGAAGTACATGGACGACAGCATGATCTACGAGGTTCTCTACGCTCCGGCAGACAGTCACGTTGGGCAGGTACGACGGTTGTTTAGTGACCCCACCAGTAGACAAAACATTGTAGAATTGTCATTGCATGTCTCTAGCTCCGTACTGAAGAAGAGAGTTGTGTTTGCTGCAGGTGGAGGCGATACAAGCCTGCTCCGAGATGATCCTGAGGGGCCTTGAGGCGGGTACAAAGTACAGGGTTCAGGTCCGGGTCAACCTGGATGGCATCACCTATGACGGGTACTGGAGCGCCTGGAGTGACCCTGTGTTCACAGAGACTTTGCCTGCAGGTGGATGATCTACATATGTTGTGTTTATAATGGAATTCGCATTGTACACCTTCAAATTGGGAATAGAATATCCTAAATCAGTGGTGCCCAAAGTCGGACCTCGAGAGCAGGCATCCTGCATGTTTTAGTTCTCTTCCTGGTGGTATAACAACCTTTTCAGCATGTCAATGTTCTTCTTAGGCCTTCTAATGAGCCATTAGAAGGCCTAAGAATATGGGATATGATATGGCTTATCATATCCTATATGATAAGCCATATCATATGGCTTATCATTTTGGACAAATGATTTTGGACAACTTCTGAAAGTTGTCCAAAGTGCGTTCTGGGGGCCACTATGGCCACTGGACGGATTTTTTTGTGTGGTCATTTTGAAAAGCTACCAATTTGGAGACTTTTTGTTAATATCTCACAGTTGTAATTGTCTTGTGTGAACACAGATTTGCTTTAATTTATTGAACTTGGCTAAATGAAGTGTTATCATGGAGAGTAACCTTAATCAGGTTTTTGTTTTTTATAAGAGCCAAAATTTGTCTGCCAAAACTTTCCAAATTGAATTCATTTCAAATAAGACGCCACAAATGTGCAGAACCCTTTTTGTTCTGCTCGAACAATTAAAAATAATTTCCTTACAAGAACCTGACTATGTTATTGTTTTAATTGTTAAAATATTGTATTCTTGTTTATTGATGAGCAGGGAAAAAAGGAGGAATCGCAATCATTTTTGCTTTCATACTTGTCATTTTGTGGCCTGCGAGTACTTTGGACATGACTAAAAACTGGGATACAACTGATCTAAATGGTAAATGATGTGTACTTGTATAATCCTTGATCAAGTCCAGAGAACCCCAAAGTGCTTCACACTACAGTCATTCATTCACAAGGTGATGGTGGTAAGCTACATTGTAGCCACAGCTTCTATGGTGTACTACGAGGTCCTCTGACCATCACTAACAGGAAAGGCGGGTGAAGTGGCTTGTCCAATGACACGACAACATACAGAAGGAGTGGGAGTATGAACTGACCACCCACTGGTTGTAGGACAAACTCCTACCGTCATCGCCCAGAAATCAACCTGATCTTGCTTTGTACCCTACAGAACTTGACCCACTTATTGTGTCCCTGACCTTCATCATCTCCTTCATCCTTGTTCTGCTTTGTCTTACCATGTTTCTGTCCCATCACAGGTCAGTGCACTATGAAAATATAATCATATGGCTTATTTTGTAGCCACAAAATTATGTTGCTTGCTTTTAAAAATCTGCACAACTATCAGATGAAACATTAGAGAGCACTACATTAAATCTTTGCTCTTGTTTTAGGTTCCTTATCAAGAAACTTTGGCCAGCTATTCCAACTCCTGACAGCAAGTTCCAAAATCTGTTCACAGTTTATGGTGGAGACTTCAAGGTAAGAACAAGACAAACATTTTCAGAGTTCTGTGACCTCTTTAGGTATTTGGCATTGTGCTTACCATGACCCTGGTCTCCTAATTTTGCTGTTGTTTTGCATAGGAGTGGTTAGGACAGACCAGTGGAAGCTTATGGCTGACTTCCCCTTTCATCCTCTCTGAAGAATGCCCTTCTCCATTGGAAGTACTCTCTGAACTCAACCTTTGTCCTCCGCTGTCCTCTCCACCTCTTCCACCAAAGGCCTCAAAAGCTTTGGCCCTTGTCAGAAATGAGGACAGGGTTTTGAACAAAGGTCTTCTTGATAGAGAGTCGGTGGACAGGGTTGATGCCCTTCAAACAAATGGATGGAGGACCCCTCTACACGACCACTGGCTGTTGGATCGTCTAAGGGAGTTCCAACAGCACCCCGTCCCCAGGTCCCAGTGTTCTCTACTGGAATCTCAAGACACCTACATCACACTCAGCGGCAACAAACGCACTGAAGAAGAGCACACGGAGGACACTCTCGAGGAAGCCTTACCCCCTGGGGTGCTTTTTGCCTCCAGAAAGCCACCCAAGAGTGAGTCTCACTCTGACCTGGGCTCTGTGCAGCAAAGCTCTGGTTCTGGGAACCTTTCATCTCAATCCAGCTTTGAGTATCCAAACAATGTCTGGATGGCCAAAGATCCTGGATACACCTACATGGCAGTTGCAGACTCTGGGGTCTCCATGGATTACAGCCCTATGAGTAGAGCTGACGACATTGGCAAAGTGGTTATCTATGCCAATGACTACAAAAATGAGATTCCTCCTCATAGAAGATCTTTCCTGGTAAGGCAGTACCCTGTCCATGATGATGTCTGAGAGGATACCAACTTGAATCAGAGGGCTGGAGAGCAGCATTTGGATATTCACCGCAGGCTAGCGATAGCCTCTCATCAACTGTTAGGAAAATATTCGTGGTGTCTAACAGACTCTTTGAGTCTGTTAGACACCAGCTAACAGACTCAAAGAGAATGACACTTTGGATATTCTGTAAAGGACATGACACTTCCATTTCAAGCAATATCAACTGTGATTCATAGCAAATATTAATACACAACACTATCCACCAAACCTTCCAGATTAGATTGGAAAAAGTGTTTCCAGTGTTCTATATTTTAAATAATTATGTTTTTGTTTATCCTTCAGTGACAGGATTGCTACAACACCTCAGGCATGGTGAAAAGAAAGACTGCTCTAGAAGGTCTTTCTCTGGAATTACTTTATTGTGAACAAATTTATTAACAAAAGCATAAACAAGCTATTATTACCTCAGTTTTATTCTGTCTATAGTAGCCTAACCTAAATCTGTAGAACTACCCGGGTGCAGGCATCATTCTCTGACCCCTAAGTCCTTTTCTAGTTGTTTAACTGATTGTTGGGTCTTGAAGTGGTTATGAGAGTCTGTATCTGTATACTTTTATAAATCTCTGTTTTATACACTTGCATTTTATTAGGAATTCAAAAGATTGGATTAAATGCTAGCAGCAATTTCTCTTAGCTAACAATATTAACTACCTAATATGCTTATGCCGCCCACAATGCTAAAGTTTGTTAGATTATGATGTACCTTACATGCATTATTTATCCAATGTGTTAGCAGGCTAATATTTCGTTGTTAGCACAGAACGCAAACTGAGATGAAGTCTTGAATTCAACTTTTTCTTTTTTACCTTTTCACGTTCAGACAAAGGAACATCATCAACATTCAAACCTTCTTGGAAAGTTGGTGCTACATGAAAAGGTGGTCAAAATATTCATGAATTATACACGTCCAGATTTAATTTAGCAGGTTTTGACATTAAAAAGGCAACATAAAAATGAATGATCATTTAAATTTAGTTGTAGGAGACCTACATCACAACATGGATTTTGTATATTTTTGTACATTTTCCTCTCATTTTGTTCAATCAGAAGGTCGTAGGTTCGATTCCAGCTCCCTCCTGTCATACGTTGATGTGATGTGCGGGCAAGTTGCTTGCCAATCTGGCATTGGTGTAAAAATGTGTGAGCCCAAATGGATTAACGTGGCTGTAGTGTAAAGCACTTTTTGTCGTATGATTGGAAAAATGCTATAGAAGTTCAGTTCATTTACCATCATGCTGATTTACCGACTACACCAAAAATACATAATATTGATAGCGCTCACTGCCAGGTCATTTCTAAAATCTAGAATATTTGTGTGACATATTAAATTCTTAAATAATAGCACTGTTGTTTCAGATAAAGATTGTATTTTTTTAATCATTTATCAAAAACAGAATTTTAAAGTATATTCAGTGAAATTCTTATTACTGTAGGCTATGCGGCATTGCTTTAAGATAACTATATTTAGGGAACTGTACCTGTAATAATTTCTTCTGTTGTACATCTTTGGGCCAACACTGCCCCCTAGAGAGCAGAACCTGGCAGACTAGAATTGTCCAGTTTACTGCGGCTCTGATTAACCTTTTAATAAGCTTATTTGCTTGCTGTGAAGGATAAACTTGTTGCGGCTGTAATTGTAAATTGAATTGTATTACTGAACTTCTAACCATTATTGTTTTTGTTTTTTTTTGTAAAAAGTGTACATGAAGCAACAGGTGCAGATTTGTAGGGGGAAAAGTCTGCAACTGTTTGCCTTTCAATCAATCACATTTAAATCACGACTGACTTGAACATTCAAATTTGCATTTCCTGAAGCTTAGACATCTTGTAAGCCTAAGAGCTTTTTTAAATTTTTTTATTATTTTACAAAAATAAATATTAGTGATACATTTGCTTTAAAAGAAATACATCGTTTGCCTTAATAAGTTTTGAATAAATTTTTAATAAAAAAAATAAAAGAACCTAAAACTTGTCTACGAAGTCTTTCACATAAAACAATTAAAACTGAACAATCCACAGAAATCTTTACAAAGCATAAAATGTATTTTTGATATAAACAAGAACATCTGGAGAACGAAAAAGATCACTTCACAGTGGTACTTAGTTGAAAATACGTTGTTTAGCACCACTATTTAATCTGCTTTCCCTTCATCGACAAGTCAAACACTGAAAAAAAATTTACTTTTATCCTTGTTCATCAAACTCATTAAACCTTCTTCAATGTGTTTTATACACACATCGACGATGTACTTTCCTGAACTTTTTAGGAGTTTAGTAGAACTCAAAGGTTACGAAGAAATGCCTTGATGACCTCTAACAAGGAACCTGCTGCAATTTTTCTTGTCTTTTATGTCATGTAGTCTTTAAAAAAAAAATCCAATCAGTTGGTCAGACGTTACTGTTAAAGGAAACCGGAAATCAGTAATGGCTGGGAAAAGCAGATCGGTGCGCCTTTAAAAATAAGCGTATGATTATATGTAAGAACTTTTTTTAAAAAAAATGTTTCTCTGTCTCACTTAATACAGAATAAGAAAAACATAAAAAACAAAATAAACAATTCTGAAATATTTTTTAAACCTTACCTTTCCATAGCTGAGGATGTTTTACACATTTCTTAAGGCCTTGAGGGAAAAACATTGGACATTTTTTGGCCAATAAATTACAGTGAACAAAAACAGATCAGCTACATAATATATATATATATAATATATATAAGTTTGATTAAATTGATGCCATTAATAGTTTACTTCTCAGCCAGCTGTGGTGGTTCTAAATAAAAATGAAGGGTTTTAACATCGGGAGACCAAAGCCTTTCAAACTAACTTGAACTCCATTAAACCCTCAGGAAAAATGAAGAGTTTCCACTCCTGTGCCAAAGTGGGTCCATCCTCAAGGTCATCCGGGATTTTAGTTCCAGACAGGTAGACGTGCCAGGCCTCCTGTGCTGCTGCTGCGGCAGCTTCGTAGCTTCTGTCCTGGTCCAGAGTGCAGCGAGCTTGGAAGTAGCGGTCAAGAACGTCCAGAATGGGATCCATGGCTGAGGGGTCCCGGCTTTCCTGCCCGCTGTCCGCGTCCGAGAGGAAGGAGGCAATGGTGCGGCAGGGGGCCGAGCTGGAGCCCCTCTTTTCCAGGACTTCGGTGAGAAAGGCAGCGGTGTCGCAAAGCAGCGCCGCCAGATGAGCAGCGCGAGACTCGTCTCCTGAGTGAAAGCCAGCATGGCTGCTGGCCACGGCGCCCCGCAGGAAGCCGTCCAGTCTGTCGATGATGATGAGGGAGGGCGGGCAGGGGAACTCGTGAAGGCTGGCGACCTGCTGGAGTAGCTCCTCCAGGGTCCGGGGATAGCTGAATGTGATTTTCTTCAAATAACAGTAACAATAATGTTAATCATAAAAAGTTACAAATGAGGTGAGAGTAAACTGTCAGACAGTAGCTGAGACTGTAACTCAGATAATCCTGACATGCTGTAATGAATAAGTTGCTAATAGTTTCTTACTTTTTAGATGAGCAAACATACGCAATCCCACACCGAACATCACCGGTTTCGGTTTATTGTTTTTTTTCCCCATATTTTTGTCAAATTACAACTAAAGATGCACCAATCTGATATTAATATCGCTATAATATTGAAAAAAAAAATCTAGCTCAGGTATTGATAATGTGGCCAGTCCATAAGGGTAGATCTATTCAGTGTAATTCTATATTTTGTACTACGAGTGACATCACGATTTATTATTTATTTTACATTAGCTGTTATACTAATAATTGCACTGACTGAACAAATTAAAGTTGTGTTGATTTTACATGTTTGACCAAGCCTGTGAAGCTGCTGGTGTAATTTTAGTGTGCTGTACTGTTGCAGTTATCAGATACATTTGTACTTCAGTACAAATGTCAATGTTTTTTTTTCCCTTTTTCTTTTTTAAAGAAAAGTTTTAAGTCAACTGAGCACTGTTTTTCTGCATCGGATCGGTATCATCCGATACTAAACCTCAGCTATCGGTATCAAAAGAAAAAAAAAAAGTGGATCGGTGTATTCCTACTTCAAACCTCATCGAATGCTTCAATGAGCTTGCCTCGTTGGCTCGAAATGTTCTAAAGTATTTTACTGATTTAATCTAGATTTAGTCAAGGTAAAATCAGAATTTTCTGAGCTTGTATTTGCTACTGAAAGGTTGCTATGATCTGAGGTGTCCTCCAGGTGTCGCTGTTTTTAATTATACTGAAGTCATGTACTTTTTGTTTGCCACCATCAGAGCTTTCTTTTACTGTTTGCAGCCTTCACGGAACTGTTTTAAATTGAGATTATACTACACATAGGCCGGTTTTGTTTATTAAACAGTGACTTCTGGATGCAATTAGAGTTTATTTAGGAGTGTATGACTTAATATCTCAATATCTCTTCCAAGCACTACATTGTGTTGGTGTGTCATAAATATTCCAATAAAACACACAGAGGTTTGTCGCTGTAACGTGACAAAGGTGTAAATAGATCCAGGTATTCTGCTATATTTTTCTCAGTGGTTGTTGTGGTTTTCAGGGTAGTTTGGTTTACCTTCAGACCCTCCGGGTTCTGGGTCGCGCTGCATCTCTGCAGACACTCCGGGAGGCTCTGAATCTGAGTCTGGGCGAAGAAAGCCACCCTGACGCCGAGCTCCGAGGCGGCGGTGACGGCCGCCAGTAGCAGCACAGAGCGACTGAGGCGGTGCTCTCCCACTACCAGGGTGTTGGAGTGGGGTGCTGGGGGTGGAGGACCGGCACTAGGGTCCTTGTTCTGACCTGTCTGTGACGACAAGGTCCTGAACACCAACGTCAAGATGTCTGTCATCTGAAACCAAACAGAATTCACCTCGCACTCGAAGTTTCCCGCGGCTGTTTTCAGGTGGCACACCGGTGTTACAGTGAAAATGGTCCGGATAGAATACAAGCAACTGTGACTGTCACCATATAGATAATTTTGTTTATGGTATCCAGGGTTTATTTTCACATAAGCTCTTGCGTATATATATATTTAGCATTGATTCTGTTCAATGATAAGATTAACATAAACTACAATATCGTGCTTCCTGTGAGGTTTAAAGCAACTTCCGGTAATCACAGGATCAGCTGTCGGCGTTAAATACCAAGATGGCGCACTGTCCGGCAGACTGTCCTTCTGAGGCCGACCGAGCCGAGGACCGAGGTGTTCCGAAGCGGTGTAGGGGCCGGCCGAGGCTCACGGACTCAGACCGAGCTCAGAGGCGGCTGGAATCCCGAAAGAAGTACGACGTGAGGAGGGTGTACCTCGGAGAGTCGCACAAGCTGTGGAGCGAGCTCCGCAGGAGGACCAGCCTGAGTGATGCTGGGCTGGCCGAATACCTCATCCTGCTCAACTCCACTTATGGAGACAAGAACCATCAGGAGTCCTGCGGGTAAGAGGGGGGACACGAAGCGCACATACAACGGGGTGCATTTAAATCCCTTATGAAAGTGATGGTTGTGTTTCAGAAAGAAGACCACAGCAGGGGTGACTGGGAAACAGAAAGGAGGTGTGTGTTGTCTTTGCTTATCTGGGAATATTTTCAGGTTAGTTTCACGTTTCTATTTTGGGATTGTGGTGCCTCCCTACGTTCGACTATTTTGTCATATTCCAAGCACAGACTGTACTTGATTGGAATTTATGTAGGAGTACAGAAATAAATTGGTCCAGTTTTTCTTAATTTTGGAAGATCTACAACCGGCTGCTACTTTTATCTTAAACTTATCTTTTCCACCGATCTTATCCACCTCCGCAAGGTCTGAAATCCACTTTCCTCTTTTGTTCTGCTATGAGACAGGACTGACTGATGTACACTGTTGCCAACTTAGGAAATTTGTTGCTATTTTAGCAACTCTTCAGACCAAATAATTGGTATTTGCCAAGTCGAAATGTGGATTAGGCTTTTAGTGGATCAGTGATTGACCG